CGAGATGGAGAGAGTTGAAGTTTGTTGAAATGCTCTGTTTCTAAGTGTTCCACTTTGGACGTTAATTACTAAGTAATTTTAGCACTAACAATTGCTGGGTTTTACCTTTTTTCTTTCTTCTTTATGCTTATGAAATTTCACGAAACCACATAGAAGTTTCATTCGATTATTTTAATGAAATTTTGACCCCCATATGAATGCAAATGGGACCATTCAGTTAAGGTAACGAAACAACATGGAATTTTCATTCGATTATTTTAGTGAAATTTTGGTCTCCATAGGAATGCAAATGGGACCATTCAGATAAAGTAACGAAACAACATGGAACTCTCATCCGATATTTTCATGAAATTTTGACTTCTATCTATGAAAGCAAATGGGACTATTCAAATTAAAGTAATGAAAGAAAATCTCACAATTATGAAATTTGGTAATAACACAATTTTGAAATATGAAAGGAAGAAATTAGATGGAAAAACTCAAAAGGAAAGTGATCACGTATCTTCCTTTTTTTTCTCTTTTCCAGGATCAACAATTGCAAGAAATGGGGCCAATCAATTAACTAGTAGCTGTCATCTCATTATAAAACTAGAGAAACATAATCCCCTCCTAAGCCATTTTAACTCTACCAAACAATTAAACATACGCACTTGTGTCTCTTTTCCTTCTTCATCTCAATCATGGCCGATGCAGTTGTTTCAGCTGTGTTGGAAAAATTGACTTCAATTGCTCTAGATGAAATAGAGAAAGAGGTGAGGCGAGTTATCAACGTTCGTGGAGAAGTGAACAAGCTTAGTAGCAATTTTCAAGCCATCAAAGCTGTTTTGGAGGATGCAGAGCGACAGCAACTGGAAAAGGGGAAGGCCAATGTTCGAGATTGGTTGGGCAAGCTCAAGGACGTCTCTTATGACATTGATAATGCATTGGATGAGTGGAGCACTGTAATTCTTAAGTCAAAACTTAAACTGAAGCCGAAGGTATGTTCCTTCGTCCCCTCTCCTTCCTATTGCTTTAGTAGAGGGAAACTGCTTCTCAAAACTGCACACAAGATACAGGCTTTGAATGAGAGGTTGGATGGTATTGCAAATGAGAGAGAAAGGTATGGGTTTAAGGTAATAAATAGTGAAAAACCAAAACGTGATGAAACCACTTCTTTCATAAATGTAGCAGAGGTGATGGGTAGGGTTGAGGATAAGGAGAGGATAGTAAATATGTTGCTAAATGAGGGTAGAATTGAAGAAATAGGATCAAAACTTCAGATGATCTCCTTGGTAGGCATTGGGGGGATTGGGAAGACTACCCTTGCTAGACTAGCCTTTAATAATGAGGAAGTAAAGTCTCATTTTGAAGCAAAAATATGGGTGTGTGTTTCTGATACTTTCAATGAGATGAAAATTGCCAAAGATATTCTTAAATTTGTGATTGGTAATGCTGATAAGGATGTTATTGAGAAATTGCATAAATTGAATTCTGATGTTGAAAAAATGGATAAATTGAGGAATGCTATTGTAGAAATGGAGAAGTTGAGGGATACTATTGACAGGTTAGACAAATTGGAGGATGTATTGCGATACCTTAAAACCTCAATCGAGGGTAAGAAATTCCTACTTGTCTTAGATGATGTGTGGACTGAAGAGTATGGAAAGTGGGATCAACTGAAAGACTTGTTGTTGAGTAATGGTTCCCAAGGAAGCAAGATCTTAGTGACCACCCGTAAGGAGAAAGTAGCGGTAAGCATGGGCTGCGAATTGTTCAAAGTGGGACAGTTATCTGGAGAAGAAGGTTGGTCATTGTTTAGTCAAATTGCTTTTTTTGGGAGGTCTAATGATGATTGTAGAAGTTTGGAAGAAA